TGGAATCAAAAACAATGATACAAATGAACTTATTTTCAAAATAGAAACAGACTAACAGTTATAGAAAACAAACTTGGGCTTACCAAAGGGGAAAGGTGCAGGGGGAAGATAAATTAAGAATATGGGGTTAACAATACATACTACTAAATATAAGGTAAACAAACAGCAAGGACCTATTATATAGCACAGGGAACTATATTCAATACCTCATAATCTATAATGGAAAAGAATCTGAAAAAAGAGTATGTGTGTATGTATGTATACATATATATAACTGAATCACTTTACTGTGCACTTAACACAACATTGCAAATCACTAACACTTCAATAAAAAAGAAATATTACCTTCTTTTCTATTTTTGGAAAAGTTAATGAAAAATAAGAATTCTTATTTAAGTGTTTGGTATAAATTACCTGTGATGTTGCCTGGTCATTGGCTTTCCCTTGTGAAAAGTTTTTTGATTATTAATCAAGTCTCTTTACATGTTAGAAGTCTATTCAGATTTTCTATTTCTTTTTGAGGCAGTTTTAGTAACGTGTTTTTCTAGAAAATTTTCCATTCATTTAAATTACCACTTTTATTGGTACACTCTTATTCATAGCATTCTTTCATAATTCTTTTTATTTTTGTAAGGCTGATGATAGTGTGCTCTCTTTCAATTCTGATTTTAGTAATTGGAGTCTTTTTAGTTTAAAGTTTTATCAATTTTTTTGACCTTGAAGAACTTACTTTAGCTTTTGTTGATTTTCTTTTTTATCCATTTCATTTATTTCAGTTCTAATTATTATTATTCCTCCCTTATCCTTGCTTTGGGTTTAATTTGATCCTCTTTTGCCAAGTATCTTTTAAAAAGATATTTATTTTTATTTACTTGGCTGTGCCAGGTCTTAGTTGTGGCATGTGGGAACTAATTCTCTGACCAGGGATCAAACCCAGGCTCCCTGCATTGGGAGAACAATGTCTTAGCCACTGGGCCACTGCAGAAGTCCTCCCAGTATCTTAAGTGAAATGTTTAATCATTGTCTGAGATTGTTTCCTTTTTTCCCCCCATGCCGGTGTTGGCTGTTCAGTTGCTAAGTTGTATCTGACTCTTTGTGAACCCATGAACTGCAGCATGCCAGGCTTCCCCGTCCTTCGCAATCTCCTGGAGTTTGATCAAACTCATGTCCATCAAGTCAGTGATGCCACCCAACCATCTCATCCTCTGTTGTCCCCTTCTCCTCCTGCCCTCAATCCTTCCTAGCATCAGGGTCTTTTCCAGTGAATCTGCTCTTCATATCAGGTGACCAACGTATTGGAACTTCAGCTTAGTCATCAGTCCTTCCAATGAATGTGCAAGGTTGATTTCCTTCAGGATTGACTGGTGGGATCTCCTTGTAGTCCAAGGGAGTCTCAAGAGTCTTCTCCAACACCACAGTTCAAAAGCATAAGTTCTTCAGTGCTCAGCCTTCTTTATGGTCTAACTCTCATCCATACATGACTACTGGAAGAACCATAGCTTTGACTATACAGACTTTGTTAAAGTGATGTCTCTGCTTTCTAATATGCTGCCTAGGTTTGTCATAGCTTTTCTTCCAAGGAGCAAGTGTCTTTTAATTTCATGGCTGCAGTTACCATCTACAGTAATTTTGGAGCCCAAGAAAATAAAATCTGTCACTGTTTCCATTGTTTCTCCATCTATTTGCCATGAAGTAATGTGACTTTATTTTTCTGGGCTCCACTCCAGTATTCTTGCCTGGAGAATTCCACAGACAGGGGAACCTGGTGGGCTACAGCCCATGGGGTCGCAAAGACTTTGACAGAACTGAGTGACTAACACACATGCATATGAGAACTGCTTAAATTACATCTCGTACATTTTAGTATATTATATTTTCATTTTCACTCATTCATCCTAAAATATTTTCTAATTTTTCTTTTGACTTCCTCTTTGACCCATTGGTTATTTAGTAGTGTACTGGTTATATTCCTCATTATTTGTGAATACCCCAAATTTCTTTGTTATTAATTTCTAATTTCCACTGTGATCAGAGAAATACTTTCTATAATTTCAATCCCTTTAAATTTATTGAGGATTTTTTTTATAGCCTAGCATATAGCCTACCCTGAGCATATACTCAGACAAATGTGTATCCTGATGTTGTTGGGTGGAATTTTCTATAGATGTCCATCAGACTGTTTTGCATATAAGGTTCAAGATTTCCATTTACTTTGTTGACAGTCTGCTTTGATGTTCTATCCATTATGGGGGAAGGTAGTGAACTCATGAACTGTTTTTGCCAAATTGTCTATTTTTCCTTACATTTCTGTTTGTTTTTATTTCATGTATTTCAGAGCTCTGATGTTGTGGGTATATAGGTCTATAGTTATTACAACATTCTGATAGTTTGACTCTTTCATTATAAATTGCCCACTTTATCTCTAGTATCATCTTCTTTTCATTTTAAAGTCTATTATATTTCATATTATTGTAGTCATTCTAGCTTTCCTTGGTTGATGTTTGCATGATTTTATCTTTTTCCATTCTTTTACTTTCAATCTACTTGTATCTTTGAACCTAAGAAGCTTCTTCTGTAGACAGTAAATAGTTGGATCATGTTTCCTATCCAATTTGACAATTTCTGCCTATTGATTGGATTATTTAACCCATTTGAATTTAATATTATTATTGATATAGCTGGATTTATGTCTGTCATTCAAATTTTTATTTTCTACTGGCTAATGTAATGACTGTCTAATGTCCATCGAGTCAAGGCTATGGTTTTTCCAGTAGTCATGTATGGATGTGAGAGTTGGACTATAAAGAAAGTTGAGCACTGAAGAATTGATGCTTTTGAACTGTAGTGTTGGAGAAGACTCTTCAGAGTCCCTTGGACTGCAAGGAGATCCAACCAGTCCATCCTAAAGGAAATTAGTCCTGAATATTCATTGGAAGGACTGATGCTGAAGCTGAAACTCCAATACTTTGGCCACCTGATGCGAAGAACTAACTCGTTGGAAAAGACCCTGATGCTGGGAAAGACTGAAGGCGGGAGGAGAAAGGGACAACAGAGGGTGAGATGGTTGGATGGCATCACCGACTCAATGGACATGGGTTTGGGTGGAGTCCGGGAGTTGGTGATGGACAGGGAGGCCTGGCGTGCTATAGTCCATGGGGTTGCTAAGAGTTGGACAGACTGAGCAAGTGAACTGAGCTGAACTGAACTAATGTCTTTTTGCTTCTGTTCCTCCTACTGCTCTATTTTGAATTAAGTGAATATTTTCTAGAGTAGTACTTTAATTACTGTGATTACTTTTTCACTATTTTAAAACTTATTTTGTTAGTGATTGCTCTAGGAGTTACTATGTACATATTATCAGAATCTATTTCAGATTTAAACGAACTTAACTACAATGTGATATAGAAACATTACTTCCACGCAGTGTCATTCTCTCTTTCCCCTTTCCCACTATCATTGTTATACATGTCACATGTGTATATGCTATTAATCTACCAATAGTACTATCTTATATAATTTTATATGTACTAAACAGGCTGAGAAAAGATGGGAACAAGTTTATATATAGAGTTTGTTAGAGTAACCTTTCTGTTTACTGATTTTGGTTCCCTATGTGTGTTCTTGCCTGGAGAATCCCAGGGACGGGAAAGCCTGATGGGCTGCCGTCTATAGGGTCGCACAGAGTCGGACACGACTGATTCGACTTAGCAGCAGCAGCAGCAGCATGTATGTTCTAAGGATTCAAGTTACCATCAGGGGTCATTTCCTTAGCGCAACACAGCTTTGGCCTCATCTACCTTCTTGGTGTTGTTACTGTTAAATATATTACATTTCTATATGTTATGGTCCAACAGTACAATTACAAGCAAAATATACAATTGTGTTTTAAATGAGTTAAGGAATAAGAAGACATATTCATTTATACCATCTTATAACTAGAATGAATTATTTTGTTTATTGAAAAAGTTAAGTTTAAAATAAAAGACTGAATATTGTGTGGCTCCATCCACCCACCCCCTGACTCGTATGTTGAAGCGCAATGTGCTTGTGTTAGAAGGCGAGGCTGCGGGAGGTAATCGGGTTGAGATTAAGGGGAGGCTCCCATGGGGTTAGAGTTTTTATCAGGGGAAGGGGAAACGCCAGCGCGCCCTCTCTTGGCCGTACGCACAGAGGCTGTATGAGCACCAGGCAAGGTGGTGGCTGCCTACAAGCCAAGCCAAGAGGCCCCAGACTGTAACCCACCCTGCCAATACCGAGACTTGGGACTTTCCAGGCTCTAGAACTGTGAGAAAAAAATATTTAACCTAGTTTATGGCATTTCACTATGACTTTATGGCATTGGCAGCCTGAGGTAAGACATTAAATTAATAATTAAATGCAAGGAAGAGTAATTTTTTAAGCCATCTCTAAGATTTGTTTTGACTTCAAGAGGGCTTTTCTTAGCTCTCTCACTGACTCCCTGGTGAACTGGTTAGACTGTGGTTCTGCTTGTTGTTTTTAATTATAGGAGCTTTTTTTGGGGGGGTGTGAGTGCCCTAATTTAATAAGTATTAGTTTCTTTAAGATATATTAATCAATTGAGAAAAATTAAAAAACCCATTGGAACTAAATGGGCATAAGATATGAACAGGAGGAAATATAAATTGTTTTTAAACATATGAAGATTGTCAACCTCACTTACAATTAAAGAATACAAGTTAGAGCTATGCAAAAATAACATTTTAATGTGCAAGATTGGTAAAAATAAAAAATGATAACATAGCCCCAATATTGTTGATGGGAATATACAGTTACAATAATCTCTAAACAGTGCTTCCCAATACCTATCAAAATTGCAAAAGCCCATCTTTTAATTTCGAAGTTCACTTCTCAGCATTTATTCAAAGAGATATTAGTATATACAAAAGATGACATGTGTACTTAGTCACTGCTGCATTGCTTATAATAGCAAAAAGCTAATAATCTCTTAATAGGAGGTTGTTGAAATAAAATTGCGGTACCTCAGCTTTAGCATGCGCTGTGCCTTGGCTGACAGCATAGTGACAGATGTGATGGACGCAGTATCTTGAAAGGCATGGATCAGGCCTGCCTGCTCTTGTGCTTCTACTGCTTCGGCTGCTATTCCACTGGTCTTAGGAAGAACGTAACAGCCATTTGGAGCAGAACTGTCAAATAAGGTGTTTCAGTCAAGCCCAACCTAAAATAGAGCCCACCAATCAATTTGCAGAAGAGTGAGCCAGCACAGCTTAGCCAAGTTTGCCAACCAAGTCCAAGCCAAACCACCTAAGCCTCAGCCAACATACAGATGCATAAGCTATGCTTATAAAGAATTGTTTTAAGCCACTGAGTTTTCAGTGATTTATTCAATTTTTTTTTACTCAATGAGTTTTAGTGGTTTATTACACAGCAAGTGAGACAGTTAATTACACTGTCCAGTGAATATTGTCTGCCAATAAAAGAATTCTTTAATACCCAAATAATGTAGAATCTCTGAGTCTCATGGTTCAGTTAAATGTGGTTCAGAACAATGTGCAGTGCTCACTTTGTGAATGGAAATTTGTGAAATGGAATTTGCATAAACTTGCATAAGATCTACCTGGAAAGATACATACAGAAACCTGATAAAAGCTGGTTGTCTGTGGAGAAGTTAAATGGAAAGTCAAGGAACAGGAGTTGAAAGGAGGTTTTCCTTTTATAACCTTTCTTCCACTTTTGAATTTTCAACAACTTAAATGCATTACATATTCAAAAAAAGAAGTAATTTTTTAAAACTCAGTCTATTCATAGAGCTCCAAATTCTTCTAGCATCTAATACAGCAGAAAAAAAATCTGAAATCAGTTAACTTTCTATTCTCTTGACAAGGGCCAATTTTGCTTCGATAACTGCAGAATCTTTATTATTTCCTTAAATTAGGAGTTTCAACAGTGTTTATCTAGGAGTAGAACTCTATTATTATTTCCTTGTATCTAGAATATATATGTAAAGGACTCTTAAAACTCAATTGTAAGACAAATGACTCAATAAAAAAATGGACAAATGAATTGATCAGACACTTCATGAAAGAAGAAAATACAGGTAACAAATACACACATTAAAAAGTGCTCAACATCACTGAAAAATTAAAAGCAAAATTAGATACCACTACACTCAATTTAATATATCTAAGATTTAAAAATCTAATGATATCAAATGTTGGAAGGATGTGGAGCAACTGGAACTCTTCTTCAGTAATGTAGAGTGAACACTTCTTCACTAATGCGAGGTAATGTAAAATGGTATAATCACTTTAGAAACTCAGTTTGGCATTCCTGATAAAGTTAAAAATGAATCTACCATATGACCTAATCATTCCACCTCTTGCTTTTTGCCCAAGAGAAATGAAAGTATATGCCCACAGACTCAAATGTGAATGTTTATCACAGCTTCATGTGTGATATCCCCAAACTGGAAAAAGTCCAAATGTCCATCGATAGGTAAAGGGATAAATAAATTTTCCTATATCCATATCACAGAATGTTACTTAGTAAAGAAATGAAAATGAATTACTGATACTCATAACATGTATAAATCATAAATTAATTATGCTGAGTGAAAAGAAGCCAGATGAAAAAAGAGCACATACTGTATGATTCCATTTATATAAAATCCTAGAAAATTTAAACTAATCTATAGTGACAGAAATCAAATCAGTGGTTGCCTGGGCATGGCTTGGGGTAGGGGTGACATGTAGATAGAGAGATTACAAAAGGTCATGAGAAAACTTTCGAGGGTGATGAATTCATTAATTTTCTTGAATGGTGGTTTCAAGAATGTATGCATATACCAAAACTTACCAATTTGTCACTTTAATTATCTACAAAAGAAAACTGAAGAAGAAACCAAATGTTAGGATTTGTCAAACTGAGTAGTTGACACACAAACTTTTGTTATACAATTCTCTGTTTTTATGTGTTTTCTCTATTTAATAACAAAATATTTTAATTCAATTAAAAAAGGAAACTAGATTTCTCTCACTTGAGCCGATTTAGTAAACTGATGGAAACAATAATTTCCATGAAAACAGGGCTTTTGTCTGTTTAATTCACCATTTCATCCCCAGTTCTCAGGACAGGGCCTAGAAGCACTTATACCCTTCAAAATTACTTATCTAACACATAATGAATAAACTCAATTTATTCATAACTACTGGTTATTTTCTTAAAGAAGATTTCCAATTCCTTATGGTAAAGCCTGGAAGTTACGGAACAATTTTAGTGATTACCTGTACTGTGGAGGGTGCCAAGAGAATCAGAAACTTTTATATGTAATTGCTTGTATTCAGGCAGCTTGCACCACCAAAGCCCTATTGTTTGTTGATAGGTGGCATCCAGTCTGATTACTGAACACTTAGTGGTCAGTGACTGTACCATACTAGTTGTAAACTATTTTGAATATTACCCCTTTTCAAATGTCATCGCACTAGTACTTAGTGGGTTCAAGTATCTTTTTATGTCACACATTTCTCCTGCAGGCCTTCGTTCAAGTTCAAAATAGGTATCCTTTGACATGCACTTTGCACCCAACTCCTTTATTCTAACATTTTAAATGAATTAAAATATTTGTTATTAACTACAGAAAACACATAACACCCACTCATTGTTCAGGTCATAAGATTTGATGCTGGCTTGATTTTGTTTCCCTAGTTAAACATTTTTTTTCACTGCCAAGATAATGTGATAAATTTCTATTCCAAAATACACAATATTTTCAGTTTTCTCTTCTGGATTTTTGTATAGGGGAGCGAAACCAAATCTGATAAATATTCGCTTTTTGGCTTTGAATATTTCAAGCAGTGTTACAGGCAACTTATTGACCTATGTCCTTTAGCTCACTGAATATGACTTGGAAAATAGATTAAAGACACCTGGGTCATATATCTAAGCTTTGGCCCAAGTCTATCTGCTGAACCTCTGCCATGGACATGCACTACACTGCCTATCAATGTGCCAGAATTAGAAAATTTTTAAGAAAAATTTCTGGCTTTGGAGATGACTCTATTTGGAAGACAAAGTGAATTCCATACAGAAAGGCACATTAGTAAACATTTATTGAACTGTATTAAATTTAATTGAAATTAATTAAATTTGGATGGTAGCTACAATTGCAACTGCTCCCATTGCTGGGCTGAATTCCAGTTTTGGTTTAGAACCCAGTTTGGGCAAGGACTAGAGAAATGGAAAATCTTCAATGTCAACTTCAAAGTTGAATTAATTTACATTAGAAAAAGAGCATTAGGTAACACTACTGAATTAAATATTTATTACAATTTCTTTTGAAAAGACAATAATTACAAACAAATAAGCTAGGTCTTCTTTAAGTGAATAAGTTCACTGTTCTATTCTTTACTCTAGTATTTTTCAGCTTCCTTACAGTAAATTTGACTCTTCCATCTAGAATTATTAGGATTTCTCTTGGACATCATTTAAAATATAAAAGCTATCTATCATGTCACATGTTTTAGAATTATAAATACCTCCATTCTTCCCTCCACGCTGAATAAATCAACAAGATTTATAGATTCTACCTCAAGTATTTATATGGGCTATTTTCAACCTTTTTAAAAACAAGCATTTTATAAAGTCTTTATATAAAGCATACCTTCAAGTAAATTTTATTTTTTTGTAAATTTAAAAAATACATATTATACTAACTAAAATATAAAAGAGAAATAAGAGCATAATTATATAATAAATAACAGGTAGTATAATATATAAATGACTATACTAGAAGACCTAATGAAGAGTTAATACGCACCCCAGGTGGCATAGTGGTAAACAATCTGCCTACAATGTAGGAGACCGCGTTGATCCCTGGGTCAGGAAGATCCCCTGGAGAAGGGAATGGCAACCCACTCCAGTGTCCTTACCTGGAGAATCCCAGGGACAGAGGAGCCTGGTGGGCTATAGTCCATGGGGTCGCAAAGAGTCAGACACAACTGAGTGACTTACACACACACTTATAACCAGGCTAGGACTTGAGCAATTAGACTAAGATTCAAATTAATAGTGAAAACAGTTTGTCTTTAGACACTTTGAAATAAGAATTACTGTAAATGCAATAAATACAAATGCACACTGATATAGTTGATTTGTATTAGTCATTCAAATACCATGAGCAACACAGCTGTCAGAGATACAATTTTGGTTGCATCCCAAACAAAACAATATATATTTTTCCTTTGATGAACACAGTAGCTGCCTTCCTGGAAAATTCAGCATATATTAAAACCATTCTGTAAGTATTTGCAATTTAAATGTAAGATGGTTGTTTAGGTTTTTCACCTACAAGAATGCCTAGATGGATACTTGAAAGTCAAGTGGGAAGCAGGATAATTTTTCATTGTATGATACTGTCCCTTTAATTGCAGGATGTCTAACATCCCCGGCCTCTGCCAGCTGAAGGCCAGTAGTTCTCCCCATTGACTATAACCACCAGAAAATGCTGCCAATATCCAAAATGCCCACTAGGGGCAGTGTCACCCTGGAGAACCACAGGTCTACCTAACCGTTCCTGCCTTAATCTTTTAACACTGCTTTGGTTTAGTTCTTAAACATCTATCACTTGGCTCTCCCAATTTCTCTCCCTAGTCTCTCTGCCTGTGAATTTATCCTTCATATGGATCGCGAAGGTGATCTTTGTAAAGTGCACACCTAATCATGTCATTGTCCTGCCAAGTATCTTTGGAGGCTTCCCAGCTCTACAGAATGAAATCAAACTTTTTAGAATAGAGGGCAGTAATCCTATCCCAACATATATCAAACCCAACCTGCTACCACTCTCTCCAATGCGTACTGTGCTGTCCTCTTCCCCATGTGGTCTCTAGCACTGAACAAGTTTTCTGAGTCTTTCCACCAACTTGGTGATCTTCTGTCTGGCAAGTTCCTATTAATAATTCAAAATGCAATTCAGGTATTACGTCCCCAAAGAAATCTTCTTCAATCTCCCTAGTCCACCCCGACCTTTTCACTCACCCTGTTTTGTAACTGGTAGGTAGCCGTGTTCACCACTAGACTGTGAGATGTCTGAAGGCAGAGATTTTTATCCTACCTACCTTTATATTCTAAGAACATAAAATACGTAGAGGTATACAGTAAGGTCTTAAAAAGTTAAACACATTTAAAGTTGAATAATCCTATAATGTTATTTGGAAAGTTCTGCAGAATGCTATATAATTATTTGTATTTACCTTTCAATGTTTTCCTATTCTTAAAGAATCATATATTTCCATCCAGCTTAATCTTTCTAATATTATAGCCTTTTAGCTTGTTCCTTTTTTAGTAATTAATTTCTGATAAATCCTGAGATGTCTTTGCTTTATTTTTCTTTCACCAGCTTCAACTCCCATTGTATTGACTCATGAAACAAATATGTCCTTTCAACTCACTCCCAAGTTGATATTTTTACTTAGTGTACATATCTCAGATAAGAAGTTTATTTCTTTCTCAAATGATTTGAAATCAGCATATGAGAAGAGTTAGAATTCTTTTTAGTCACTAATAATTAAAAAATATTTTTCACAAACGTATAACTTTTTTCCCCCAAACTGACTGACTCTCAAGTTGATAGTTCTGGTTTTAAGAGTTGATTCATGGTTTTACAACATGTGTGGTTGATGTTCACCAATGTTTAATTTTGTTTTAGAAATTTTTTAGATTTGAGAGTGTTCAACACCTTTTTCAGTTCCTTTGCTAATTTGCAAAATTAACTAGTCTCAAATAATCTTGATGTTTGTCCGTTCTGGACCACATGGCTTCCCTCTTCTGGTTACCACTGGGGTAACCATAATCATCCGTCTTTTTTTTTTTTTTTAAATACTACATTGTTCTTTGCCTTCCCAGAATTTAGCAGCAATATTTCAAAAATTTACTAATGACTTTCCTTTGGGTCATTAGAAGAAAAATGGTTCCTGTAGAAACAATGTGCTGCATAAATAATAGTGCAGAGACATTTTCCTGGAGGCTACAATGTGACCTATGAAATACACTAGATTGGTTCCTCTCCATTAGGACATTCAGATCCTTCTTTTATTTTGGAGGGGAAGAATAAATGGAGGAAAATGTGCTTTGAAATTCTCTGTCCTGCTTTAGAGCATGTAAATAGCATCACGCACAAAAAATTTTCAAGCTGTCAGGAGTTAAGCAAGTATAATTTCGGATAATTAAATGCTTAAGACAATCAAAATAGAACTCATCCTAGTAAGCTTTTCTCACTTGAAGGAGAGTTCTTCAGAAAGTAATTACTGATCTTACTGTCTTTCAATAGGGCAGTTTAAAAATGTGGTAAAACAGTCCACACTACATTTTGCAATCTTTAAAACAAAGAAAGTATACCTATATGTATGGACACAGAACGATACATAATTGTTTTAAAATTTTAAATATCATGAGTAATGTAATACACAAACTATGATCTCATTCATATAAAAAAATATTAGAAACAAAAGTAAAATATATACAAACAGAGACTGGAAAGATACACACAGTAAACTGCACTCAGTGTTTTGCAATGAAAGCTTTTATTTTTGTTTCTTCCACCAGCTTATGAACTCTTTTGTTACCAGACCAAATATAGGATGCCCAGTTAAATTAGAATTTCAGGTAAAAAGGCATTTTTTTAAGCATAAGTACATCCCAAATATTGCATGGAGCATATTCATACTAAAAAATCATTCATTGTTTATACCTGAAATTCAAATTTAACTGAGTGTCCTGTATTTTTATTTGCTAAATCTGGCAATTCTACTTGAAGGAGACCTTAGACTATCCATCCTTGGACTCCTATAACTAACATAGTTAGTGATTTGGTGGGTACAGAACAAATGGCGAGTGGGAGAGTAATTAAGATTAAGAACATAATAATAACAGGCAATTTTGCCAAGCATGTTAGATATCTTATCTCAATTCTCATGGAAATGTCATAATGTTTTATTACTGGTCCTATTTTACAGATTGAGAAACAGAAGTATATTGAAGCCACACAGTAAGTGGTGGAGCTAAAAATGACCCCAAATTTCTGAGTCCTGATTCAGCAGCCATAACAAACTAACTGCCCGCTGCAGGCAGGTAGAAGAAAATAAGGAGAAAGCAAACCAGGGGAGAGGCTTTGGTTCTGCCTAACGGATGCAATGCAGGACTTTGCACAAACGCCTCAATTTTGCCTAGAGGTGGAATGTGAGATACACATGAAAAGCAGACAAATCTGGGCCCAGTCCCTACCTCCACCACACATTAGAACAAGTTATATAATTTATTTCGGCTTCAGTTTTCTCTTTAAAACTGGATTGAGAGAATCTACCTGAGTACTGATGGAAAGAACAAATGAGATGATTTCTGTAAAGTGATCAGCAGGAGGTTTGGCAAGTAAAAGATACTGTCAGTGGGAATTAGTCTCAGCTCAGAGTCCTAGTTTTTTCATTTGTAAAACAGAATAATTATACGAATAACTACTGGTATCTATATTGCCGAGCTGATGTGAGGTCAGATGAGATTGTATCTTTCTAAATTCTAAAGATATTTAGAATCTTCTTACTCTCCTAGGAGCAGAACCAGAATACCAAGGCAGAGCATTAGTATTTTTTTTTTCCCATGAGTAACTAATTTTGTTTAAAAATTATCATACAGTAAAACTGATTCAGTGTACAAGGTTCTGTAAATTTTAACACATGTCTAGACTTATGTAACCACCACCACCATCAGGATACAGAACATGACTCCAGCTTTTGAGATTCTTTTTTTGAAAATGTTTCACATTCGTATTACAAAGCACTTTTAAAAACAGGAAAAAGATTTAGATAAAAGTGCTGAGGATGCAAATGAACAAAACTGGCTTTTTGCACAAAGCTTTTGCAGTCTTCACGCCCTCTAGGTCTCACCTGGGCCCTTCTTGCTGTGGGCGGTGCAGCCTATTTTTTCCCACAAAAGTAATCAAGAAGCGACTTGAGAGTTGGGATCTTCCCTTCACACTAAAGGCAGGCCCATGTCATAGGCACAAACTTCGGCATTCTTTATTGGATCCTTTTTATATTACCAGATCTTACTCTTTTGCAACTGTTTTCTCGAATTGTCATTTTCTCTCTAAAATGAAGAACCTTGAATAACCAGCACTTTCTCACTCGTTTAGGGAAATTATTTTTTCGGGACAAAGGAGACAGACACTCATTGAGAGAACAAGAATAGAGCTTTCAGGACCCCCAAACCTCTCCGGGGTAACAAATCCTCTCTGTAATCAAGCATTCCCTGTCTCCTACCCCAATCCCAGCCTCTCCTCCTTGCCTACCGGGCGCATCCTGAGGCGTCAGACTTGGGTTAGCAAACTTCGGTTCTCCCGGGCAGCCTCCCACCCCCAGCCTGCGAGCTCTCCCAGCTCACTGACTTGCACCGACACACGGCTGCCACGTCTGGGGAGGGGGGCGGGTCCGCTTTCCGGGTGACTCACGTCCTCGCTATTTGCCTTTTGTTTCTAGGACGCTTTGGCGGCCGTTTTCTTCCCTCTGCTTTTAATTTGGGGAGCAGGAAAACTAACGAATCAAGAGTGAATCTCTTCTCCACCCATCTTTCCCCCCTTCCTTCTTCTTCAAGTTGGCCCTCTCCCTTCACAAGTTCCGTAACTCCCCGAGAAGTGCGGGGGGGCGGGGGGGCGGGACAGGTGGGGACGGATTTACACCTAAACCCGAAGTTGGCAGTCTAAAGCATCACTTGGCTGGGGAGCCTTTCCGAAACTCCCTTGCTGGCAGCTGGGCGTTTTCCTGCTGCCGCTGTACATTCGCAGCTCATTTCTTTACGCTCCTGCTCTGTTATGCCTCAATCTACCTGGTTACCGCTTTAAGTGCCCAGATTAGGGCGAATTTCACAAGTACGAGCGGTTTTGCTCCAGTCCCAGGTAAAACCCAGTATGCAAAATGAGGAACCACCAAAGGATGCCAGGGAAGGGGGGAGAAAAAGGGATTCCCTCACCTTTTCCGGCACATTCCTTGTCAATTTCCACCAGGAGGAGGCGCGCGGTCTAGGTCCCCCCCTCGTCTCCTTTCTTACATCCCCCTACCGAGCGCAGCCCAGGCTCGCCGCGCAGCCGGAGCAGCTCCTCCGGCAGCCCTGGCCCGCCGCACCCCCCCTCCCCGCCCCCCGGGTTGGTTTTTCCCAGCTGCGGAGGCTGGGCCAGGGGCCGGGGTGCCAGGAGAGTCGGCGCCCGCAGCGCGGAACGGGCAAGTCGCTGCGACTCTGGTGAGATTAGGAGTTATCTCGGGTGCGGAGGTGAGCGCCGGGGAGCAAGCGGAGAAGGCGAGAGCAAGCGGATGGGGGGCGGGGGGCGGCTCCGGGGCCCCTCCCCATCCTCACGCTGGAAACTAGCGCCGGTCCAGGGGTCCCACCGCCGCTTTGTTTGCGACCTGCCCCCCGCCTCCCTTTTGGAGATGACTCGAACGCCCTCCGGTCTGATGCGGCTGGCGGGGGCGCAGGCTGGGGGCGCCAGCCGAGTGCTTTCCACTTAATCCGTCAGGGTCCTGAAAGACATCAAAAGACTCCTGTAACCTGAAACTTCCCTCGCGTCCTAACCTGGACCCGGAGGAGAAGGTCCGGGCGGGGGCGGAGACCCCGGAAGGCAGGTCGTCCGCGGAGGAGGTGGGGGAAAGGAGCTGGGAAGGAGAAGTTTTAGTCGGGAGGCGCTGGGGATTAAGCAAGAAGTTTAGACGCGGGGGACGAGTCTGATCGGGGAAAGGAGGAGGGCGGGAGCTGGGAAGGGTATATATAGTGAGGGCTCGGGACGCAGCGAGACTGTGCTTCGCCCCTCGCGTCGCCTGCCCCTCTGCTTGGGTAAGGATGTGCGTGGTGCTAGAGGAGGCGAGGCCCGGACGAGCTTTCGGAGGGAGGTCTCGGGTACCCGGTGGGGTCGGCTTGGCTCGCGGAGGCCGATCCCTGCCCTCGTGGAGCCGCGGGCGCCACCACGCCTCACGCTTGTCTCCCGCTTGTCCCAGGTCGCGCAGCGGATCCTGCGGGAGGCGCCAACAAAAGAGGCGGGAGGTGCCACCCGGGGGCGGCGGCCCTAAGACGAGCGGGAGGAGGAGCGCGGAGCCGAGCGTCCCGACCGGCCGTGCGTACTTTCTGGAGGGAAGGGGCGGGGGACTCGGCCCCGGGAGGGGGACGCCCGGTGGCCAGGGGGTTGGCCAAGTTCCGGCGGCGGCGTTGGCGGCGGCCCTCCTCTGCTCCCACGAGAGGAAAGTTTTCTCCAGAAGCTTCCGGCCAGCCCGCGCCCTCCGGAGCCCCGTGTCCCGAACCTTCGGAGCGGGCGGCGTCCCAGCCCGGCTCCGGGGAGACCCGAGCCGCGATGCCTGGGGGGTGCTCCCGGGGCCCTGCCGCCGGGGACGGGCGGCTGCGGCTGGCGCGGCTGGCGCTGGTCCTACTGGGCTGGGTCTCCTCGACCTCCCTCCCCTCGTCGGCGTCCTCCTCCACCTCCTCGGCGTCTTTCCCGGCTACCGCGGCATCCGGCCAGCCCCCGCTGCCGGGCCGATGCCCGCCGCCGTGTGAGTGCTCCGAGGCGGCGCGCACCGTCAAGTGCGTGAACCGCAACCTGACCGAGGTGCCGGCCGACCTGCCCCCCTACGTGCGCAACCTCTTCCTCACGGGCAACCAGCTGGCCGTGCTGCCCGCCAGCGCCTTCGCCCGCCGGCCGCCGCTGGCTGACCTGGCCGCGCTCAACCTCAGCGGCAACCGCCTGAAGGAGGTGGACGCCGGCGCCTTCGAGCACCTGCCCGGCCTGCGCCAGCTCGACCTCAGCCACAACCCACTGATCGACCTCAGCCCCTTCGCCTTCTCGGGCAGCAACGCCAGCGTAGCGGCTCCCAGCCCCCTGGTGGAGCTCATCTTGAACCGCCTCGAGCCCCCCGCGGCCGAGCGACACAACCGGAGCTTTGAGGGGATGGTGGCAGCGGCCTTGCGAGCGGGCCACGCGCTGCGGGGGCTCCGCCGCCTGGAGCTGGCCAGCAACCAGCTCCTATACCTGCCCCGCGATGTCCTGGCCCAGTTGCCCGGCCTCCGGCACCTGGACCTCCGCAACAACTCCCTGGTGAGCCTGAGCCACGTGTCCTTCCGGAACCTGACGCGCCTCGAAAGCCTGCACCTGGAAGACAACGCCCTCAAGGTCCTGCGCAACAGCACCCTGGCCGAGCTGCAAAGCCTGCCCCACGTCCGGGTCTTCCTGGACGACAATCCCTGGGTCTGTGACTGCCACATGCCGGACATGGTGGCCTGGCTCAAGGAGACCGAGGTAGTGCAGGGCAAAGGCAGGCTCACCTGTGCGTTCCCGGAGAAAATGAGGCATCGGGTCCTCGTGGAACTCAACAGCTCCGACCTGGACTGTGACCCTATCCTCCCTCCGTCCCTGCAGACGTCTTATGTGTTCCTGGGTATTGTTTTAGCCCTGATAGGCGCCATCTTCCTCCTGGTTTTGTATTTGAACCGCAAAGGAATAAAGAAGTGGATGCATAACATCAGAGATGCCTGTAGGGATCACATGGAAGGGTATCATTACAGATACGAAATCAATGCGGACCCCAGGTTAACAAACCTCAGCTCGAATTCAGATGTCTGAGAAGCGCGAGGACAGAACGAGGACAACTCTGCATGAGATGTAGACTTCAGCTTTATCCCGTCCTAGGCTTGCTTCACCTCCACCCTCCACTGTAGCCACCAGTGACCTTGACTGAAAGCAGTGAAGGGAATTTGCTCCCTTCTTCTGTAAAGTTTCTGGGTGTGTTCTGGTACTGTGGGACGATGAACAACTGTGCATAGTGTTTTATCCTCTTCCTTCTTGGAACTCAACATGTATGGAGGGATGTTTTCAAGTTTCAGCATGAACATGGCCTCCTGGCTGTTTTCCTCTTAGTACAGTTCAAGGTGTAGCAAGTGTACTCTCACTGATAGCATTCAACAAAAGCTGCCTCAACTTTTTTGAGAAAAAGACTTATTTCATAAATATCAGTTTTATTCTCATGTACCGAAATTGTGGAGAGAATGATTACATTTCATAAACTGCCTGCAGACCTTAGCAAGCTCTTCAAAGTAACTCCATAGTCCACGGAGCCCCTGCATCCGAGAGCATGCTTACATTTTACTGTTCTGCATATTTCAAAAAATAACTTGCAACTTCAGATAACTTCTTGACAAGTTACTTTTTTGATTGCAGTTTATATGAAACTATGCTGAAGTTTTTTTATAAACTGCATCAAGAGCCAACAATCTAAATTGTTAAAAAAAATTCAATAAAGATTCTTAAAAGACTTATAGCTGTGTTCAAGTTTGCTATTTGAAAAAAGGGTTAGGGGCAGTGATACTGAATGGTTTTGGTTCTGCTGATAATTAAGCTGTTATTTTAGCTGAGAATGAAAGAGGAGCAGTGTCTTATACAGACAGGCTTTGGAGATAGATTTGAGATGGTGGATCCTTTCACGATTTATATAGAGAAGTTGAATATTCATGTGAAAGTTAATGCTATTCATTAAACGATTTGGTAAAAGCATTATAAAGTTGGTAAGAAGGAAGATTTCTGTAAAACAAACAGTTCACATTTTGGGTTTTTTCCTAGGCTGATTAAGTTAGGACAGAACAAAATTAGTTACATAATAAAACCCTCCATAGAAAATTGTTCTGTGTATTTTTAGGGCTGAGTGTGAAACAAACATAATGCAAATAAATGCATGAAAGTGAAGTGTCTTAAGACAATATTCTAAAATAAAAGATTTTAAAATGTAAATAAAAAATTCCTAATATCATAATGTAAATTGGAACTTAGATTTTCTTGAGAATATATTTTTTAAATGCATAAAATAGAACATACAAGGTTGATGGTTTGATTATCAGAGACCCTGCTAATGTACTTAAAAAATTTGTCATGGTACAATATGAATTTGAGGAAATAACCAGGAATAACTGTCTATAATTATAAACAAGTGTCTCAATCAGTTTCTTAAGTTAAATCAGTATTTAAGAATTTGGGGACATTTTGATTTAAGCTAAATTCAATGTTAGCATATACACCTTTATGAAGAATGAATCACATTTAGCAGTAAATAAAAGCAATTGGTTAATGAAGTGGTATTGTCAACGATAGGCAAGATTTTCTTTTTCTTTCAGTTTATTATTTGCCAATTAAGCTTAAGAGTAAATTCCATTAATCTCTAACCTCTTATATAAAGTGATCTTAATTTAGCTATTATTGTTTAATTTAAAGTGTAGGTAAATTTGTATCAGTAAGTCTTAGGGCCCTTGCCCTTTAAAATGATTATGTTTTAGAGAGTTTTATATTTGAAATAAAATTTAAGTTTCCATATTTTTATAAATGAAATAGGATTAGGTAGTACTTAAGTTGTAGAAATCTTTTTTAGAATAGAATAGAAACATTTTCCCTCTTTGAATTAAACTCAAGTTTTCAAAATAGAGCTAAAAATATCTGAATTTGTTCCTTGTTTAGATTAGACATATGATATTTTAATTTTAACTATATTAAGTTTTCAAAGGCTCATTTTATGAAATAGTATTCATTATTTTGAGGTTATACTTTAGATCCTATAACTCCCTAAGAAAAGGTTAAATATATGGTACTTAATATTCCATTAAACATTTTAAATGTTCACCAGCAATTCATAAACTGGGTAGCTGCCATTATTTCCTAAGGATGATGCCAAAAATTATCAAAAACATCTAATAAATAAAAGCACACCATCTTAGGAATAAACTGCCAATGGACTTTCATTGGTAAGTCTGTTGATACTGTACAAAACAACAAACTAATATTTATAGAGTCTCTGTTCAGAAGAATTATTTCATCATGTGAGAGTCTAAAAGTTAAAAACTGACCTTTATCTAAGATCAAGGAAAGCAGTATATTTGTTAGTCTAGATTTTCTCATCATCAACTCACTGAAGCAGAATCTGTGGTACAGTGAAGCTGAGTTTTTAGCCTGTTAAGTGATGGCTTTTTTGAAGTTTATGATTTCTCACTTCTTCCTTTGTATAAACTTCCCAATTTAATATCATATCACTGCTTGCTATTCCCCAATACATGGCAATATACATTCTTAAGGTAAAAAAAACTGTCTGAAAACAGTTCTATTGTATGGTCATAATACTCTGGGTCTATAAGCCTTGTAGGGCTTCTCTGGTAGTTCAGCTGGTAAAGAACCTGCCTGCAATGCAGGAGATCTGGGCTTGATCCCTGGGTTGGGAAGATCCCTTGGAGGAGGGCATGGCAGCTCATTCCAGTAATCTTGCCTGGAGAATCCCCATGGACAGAGGAGCCTGGCAGGCTACAGTTCATGGGGTCGCAAAGACTCAGACACAACTGAGGACCGAAGCACAGCACAGCATAAGCTTCTAAGGCATTCTGAACTCCTTGGCAGAAGGCAGATAGGTGCTATAAAAGTCCAATAAGGATAACAGAATAGGCAGAAAGAAAAAGACAGTATCATCATTGAAGTGCACTTGTTTTAAACACTTTCTTAGTATCATGGATCATGGATCCTAGAGACCTCCAAGTAATCCATTTTTGAAATTTATTTTGCTTGGTGATACATTGTTACTTAGCAAAGGTTTCAGCAGAAAACACCCTTTTTTCTTTACCAGTTTCATTTTACGAAAGTTAGAAAAATACTTAAAAATGTAAGCACTTGATAAATCCCTCAATTTAAAAGGTTATTAAAATGTCCAATAAATTTCAAGTTAAAGTGGCAAGAATTTAGGCTAATACACCTTGACCCTGAATTGTAACTCCTCCCTTTCAATGGACTAATTCAGTTTGCACCATTAATATATGTATCATCAATTTTGCTGCCCCATGTGATTCAGAAGTGACCCATGAGGCACATTTATACCTTATAACTGACAGATTTTTCTTACAAAGTGAGGAGTCTTTGAAGCACATTAAAAAAAAAATGTGCCTCCAAAAAATTTAAAGACAGAAGAGCTGCTTTAATTGATAGACTGATAATAGATAAGATTTTTTTCCCCCCCAAGAGGTGGAGAAAAGATTGGTTGAAATAAATGGTAAATCCTTTAAAATTACCTTGATTGGGAGCAAATGTGGATTATGGTCACCTCAATATATAATCAGAAATAAGTTACAGCTTTGTTTTCTGTCTTAACTAAAGTGGGTAGGAAAAAAAAAGAAGATCCCAAATGAACTGTCATTTTTCCTTAGGGATTCTGTCATTCATTCATTTCAGTTGCTCATTTGTGTCCAACTCTTTGTGACCCCATGGACTGCAGCACACCAGGCTTCCCTGTCTTATTACCAACTCCCAGAGCTTGCTCAAACTCATGTCCATCGAGTCAGTGATGCCATAACCATCTCACCCTCTTAGACTTGTGTTCCAAATATGGGGCTTACTTACTTGAGGACATCAGAGGCTTTGCAGCTCTAGTTTGGGAAGCTTTGCTATCATCTGTGCTGGATTGCAAGATTAAACCCAGTTTGGCCCGTGCTTTCTTCCTGCTCCAAAATCCATTCAGTCATCCATCTGTCAGAGAGCAGCACCCTAAAGTGAAGACAGACATTTTTCACATGAGATTCAAGTTTCACTTTTACACTTGTGCAAGGATTTTTCATAGTAAAGGAGAGGGAAGAAGGAAATGAGATTTCTAGATTGTATATGGAAAAGACCTCGATGATGTCTTTCTTAAATCTTTCAGTGATTCTGCAGTGCTGTGCTTGAAATAGTTAAAAATATATATATTCTGGATTGTCCAGGTGATCCTGTGTTTTAGAAGGAGAAAAACAGCTCCTTGAGGGTGTTTTGTACAGGTATTTTTCATTCCTAGAAATGTTTGATTAAAAACACAGGCTGGTTTTATGTTGTGTTTTACCTTTTTTTTTCTTAGTTTTTTTTTTTAATTTATTTTTTATAGAAGGATAATTGCTTTAAGAATTTTGTTGTTTTCTGTCAAACCTCAACATGAATCAGCCATAGGTATACACATATCCCCTCTCTTTTGAACCTTGCTTCCATCCCACTCCTCTAGGTTGACACAAAGCCCCTGTTTGAGTTTCCTGAGACATACAACAAATTCCCCTTGGCTCTCTATTTTATATGTGGTAATGTAAGTTTCTATGTTACTCTCTCTTGCCTTAAAAGAGGTCATCTCTTACCTTAAAACATTTTTGCAGCTCTGACTTTGCCATGGGTTAAACAAAAAAATCTAGATTTAAAAAATATTTAATATATGATTTATGTATTTTTAACAAGAACCAGAATTCTCACTATTTTAAAATTGGATGGGCTCCTAAATGTGTCAAGCCCAGATTCTCATTCTACCCTACAAATGAAAATCTAATAGTTGTGACCTATTGTTATACAGCAACAACCAGGACTAGGTCTCAGGTTCCACCCTCCCCTTCCAGTCCTTTTTTGACCACATGATGGTATTGCTAATTACCTACCTTGAGGCCTTTGAAATCCTCATGTCTAATTTTTTAAAAGGCAACTGATGGGAATTTGTTTTATTGTTTTTGCTTTGCACTCAAACATTCACTATATTTGTTCAAATTTAACTGTCAGTCTGTTAAAAAAAAAAATGAGTTTCAGACCCCTGTAGTTGT